AATGGGTTTGTCTTGATTTGCATTTAGATGGGAATTCCTTCTTGTTGCTCTTCAATCCATTAGGTTTTATAAGGTAAGCCATTTTTTTTTCCTTTTGAAGTACTTCGAAGGGCATTCTGTTTTACTGCTGAACCGTGAGCTGAACAGGTGGCACCCAGGCATAGATCTGTCTCAGCAGTGTTACTGCCTTCAGTGATCAGAACAGAATGATGGAGAAAGGTCAGGCAGAGCTTGGAGATGGGCAGCCTTGAATTTAACTGAAAACACCTTTTCTTACTGAACAACAGATATGTTTGTGGCAGTGCTTCAGCCCACTCCCAGCACAATCAAGTAACAGTGCTCTACTTCATATTCAGAAAGTTCTCCCAATGTCCAAGTAAAGACTTCCTTGCTAAAGGCTCAGTGGAGAATTTCTTAGTCCATAACAGTGGATCCAGATGATAGTTTATCACTTTCCTTCTTGCAAGAACGTATTACATTTTGGAACCTGTGATTGTTTTTCCCTTTGGTCCTCTTCTTTTGAGGAGGTTTTCAACTCTTTCCATGTCATTATTTCTCAATTCCTATATCACTGTTGTTGCTTTTCATGGATTCTCTACGTTTATTCTTGAGTTCAATGCCCAAAGCTGAATCCAATACTCTATCTGATGTCTAATCAACAAATGCGTAGAACAGACTTCCATGCCTTACCCATAAAATTTTAAGAGATAGTGTGATGTTTTTTCCCATGAATTTGACATTGTTGTCTGACATTTAGCTTCATTCTTTGGTCCTTTCTTTGCATGACTGTTGAAAGCCAGTCTTTTCTCATTTTATTTGTGGTTATTCTCACTTATGTTTAGCTCTGCACTTACCCATACCAACATGCATCTTACTTTTCAAAGCATTTCAAGAATTCTCTAGATTATCTAAGTTGTAAGGCTATCCATAATGGCACAGCTTCTTTTAGTACTGGATCACATGAAAATGTGGTTATTCTTTATTCCTGCATTGAGTCACCAGCGAAAACATTGAACAATATTAGAGAGAACACAGCCTCCCATGGAATCCTGTTAAACCCTCCCAGTTAGATAAAGAAATGTTACTGCCTTCCTTGTGAGTATGGCTCTGACCTTTAGCAGCAGTTTCATCTGGACTCTCTGCTTTGCTTAGAAGAGTGTCATGCAAGATAGTGTCAGTAGTCTCATTAACTCACACTGCCTCTGCCTACCGCAAGGCTTCTAAATCGTGATTAAAGTGACTGAGATTGACTTGGTGTTGTTCATACATGCTGGCTGTAACCAGTGATCTTCCCTTCCTCTAATAACTTAAAATCAGTGTGTTTTTTTCTCCTATCCCTTTCGGAATTGAAGTTCTAATGACTAGTTTATAGTTTCTTGGCTCCCTCCACCCAGCTTCCCTTAGAGACAGATACTCCAAGCAGAATTAACTGGAGATGTAGAGATCTATTGAGTGCAGCAACTGGAGCCCAGCACACAAATCATGTATACTGAGTTCTTGTCTAAAAGAGTCATACGAATGATGGCCTACAAAGGACTGTTTCTCCACCGGTTGCAATAGCAGCAGCCTAGGGTCATTCATTCAGTAGGAAAAGCTACTCTGCTTGTGTCCAAGCTCAGGTGAGATGAAACTGAGGCTCAAACAGCCGCTCTGATCTGATGGCTGCCACTGATCCCCATCCCAGTGGATGCATTCCTACCAAGAACTCCAAACCTCTTTTGTCACATCAGCCTTTTTGTAACTTTTTCCACTGTATAAACCTTGAGTTATTTCTTTGCCTCCACAAAGATTGCTGGCACTTCTTAATTAAGCTTCTCTATCAGTGTTATGTCACGTGCTCGCTTTTTTGGCTTAAATAATGCTCCTATAAAACCTGAAACATGGCAAAAAAAAAAAAAAAAAAAAGCTTTCAGGCAATTTTGACTTTGCATATATTTTTCTTCAAAATTGATATAAAGTTTATTTTCCTTAGTAATATTTAGCATACAAAGTAGATACTCACTGCAACTCAAACAGTTCAAATGGGTTACCTGGCACACTCTGATACCAAACATTCAAGTACTAATCTAGACAAATCCCTAGGATATAGTTAATAGAAACCTCCTGTGGCAGCAGAGCAGCCATAACAAACAGATACTGAAATGTTACAGCATGTAGTATCATCTTGGTGGGAATTACAGCTGCTTTGAAAGACAGATTTTCCCTACCTTTACCTGGTAATCCTTTTGTAAAACAGCAGGTAGAGTTTGTAGAGAGAGGTATTATCGAGGATTGCTGAAAATATCTGCTGGTTTGTATACTGCTGCAGCAGTTCACAGTGAACAACACTGTTCTCATTATTGATCTAAGTGAATATTTAGCAGGCTGTTTCCAGAGGCATGGTCCTGCTGCCACTGCTGCCCTTGGCATTTCTTGTGCCAGCCCCACTGCAGGCAGAGCTGGATCAGGAACTGATCTGGATAAAGCCCAGTCTTTTCTCTTGGTCTGTTTGCTTTTCAGCTGCATCAGTTTCCTGTTCTGACTCATTGTGTTGCCTACAAGTACAAAAAGAACTAGAATGCAAAGCGATGAGCAGAATGAACACCATTAACAGCAGTTTGTTTTAGGATTGGTTCAAATAAATTGTAAAATTGAGGCAGAATAGGGGATGGAATTTCAGCCTTTATTTCTCAATTTGCTTTGCTGGTGCTTTGGTTGTTTTTGTTGTTTGTTTGTTTTGGGTTTGTTTTTTTGGTTTTTTTTTTGAGCAATGTGAATGTAACAGCATGAAGTTTACATTACAAATCCCTGTTATATATTTAATCACCACCTTTAAATTATCTTGACTTTCTCATAAAACTCATCATCTGGATGTAGTTTCAGCCACTGTAAAGCCCTGATCTTGCATTAAGCTCTGAGGTTCCCAGTGCAGTGGGGCTCATTGTATTACATGAGCTTACCTGGCTTACTATAAACACATCCCTGTTTCACAGCACTGAAATGCAGTGTGTGTGCCTTTCAAGACTCAGTGTCACCTCCACCTACAACTAACCTTGGAATTGCATTTCCTCGTGTCTAGTGCTTCGGAGATGACAATACGGAGGAAATACCTGTTGTTTTAAGCAAGAAACAAAATCAGGACAGTTATTTCCAATCAGGCATCATTTTATTTCTCTCTTGCGTTTAGCAAAGTACATAAAAACTCAGCAGTGTCAAGGGGAATGGCATGGAATATAGTTATTTAGAGCTTTTAAAAATAGCTCCCAGAGATCATTAAAAGCTTCCAAAACACTTCCAAAATAGACTAAAGATGCTATGGATTAATAGGAATTGCCACCAGACCTTCTGTGATAGTGGTCAGATAGGATACGTATTGAAATTCTGGATGTCTTTTAAAAGCATAACTACAAGGGCTGCTCCGAAAGTAATGCCTCCTATTTTGTGATATCGGCCTACGATCTCAGAGGTGAACGTTGGTGGGATGGCAGTAGAGATTGAACCTTTCTGCTAAACATTCCATTACGTTTTGCTGCTGTGCGACAGACGACAGCAGAGGGGCAGTCTGACAGAATGGTGTTTGATATGGGAGTGCCTGCAGAGCAAAGGGATGCCACTGAATTCCTCCATGCAGAAAAAACAATGGCAGCCATCGGCATTCATTGATGCTTGGTGAATGGTTATGGAGACCAAGCAGTGAATGTGAGCACAGTGAGGTGCTGGGTGATGCGAATACAAGCTGTGTTCTGGGTGGCCATGCAGTTTGTATGAGTGTAGCATGCAGGCTTGTGTTCATCGCTGGCAAAAAAAAGCATAGCTAAATGGTGGTGCCTATGTTAAAAAATAGTGCTTTGCAGCTGAGAATTTGCTCTACCAAACAGTGTTGTTGTGCTCTTTGTATCGGTTGAAGATGCCACGGAAATAAATAGGAGGAATTACTTTCAGAGTGACCTGAGTAGAAGCGAAAAGCTCTAGGATTGTATTTCCAAAGGGTCTCTATGGCAAAGAGCAGGATATTGCCACCTTCCCAGCCTGTGCATTGAATACCCCTAGAGAGAAGCAGACTATCGTTAAAATCCTATCTGATGAAAACCCCAAACGGTTCGGTTCGGTTTTAACGCGTGACCTTCAGCACAACAACGCTCCTCACACAGCCCCTGCCGCACTCCCGCCCTCGCACGCTGACGGCCGGGCTGGGCGCCGCCTCCTCCTCCTCATAGCCGCAATAGAGGGCGGTGCGCGGGACGCCGGCTGCCCCCGCTCGGGGAGCGCCCGCCGGGGGAACCCCCCGCCCCCCCCCCCGCGGCGCAGTGGTGCCGCCCGCCTGCCCGCAGGTGAGCGCGCGGGGCCGTACCACCGCCGCCCCGCGGGGGGAGCCGAGGGCTGTCCTGCTCCCCGCCCCCTCTCGCACCACCCTCACCCGGCGCAGCCGGCCGCGCGTCCGAGCCGCGGGATGGGCTGCGGGAGGCGGCTGGCCGGGCGGAGCGCTTAGATCGGCGCTGCGGCCAAACCTCCCTCTCCTCCGCTTCGCCCTCCCCGCCGCGCTCCGCAGTGGTAGTTCCCTTTCCCTCTCGCCGCTGCCCGGCGGCTCCGACTGCAGCAAAACGGAACGTACCATTCCCCCGCGGGAGGGGGAGGGGGGGCGCGGGGGAGACGCGGCCGAAAGACGCGGCTGGCAGCGCTGCCCCGCGGGCGGCCCCCGCTTCCCCCGCGCGTCCGACCGCCGCTCGCTGCGCCCGGGGCCGCGCCGGCGCCTCCGGGCGGCTCTGCCGGTGGGAGCCCGGCGGCCGCGGGGTTAATGGGCCGCCGAGAGGAGGGGGGTGGGGGAAGGAAGGGCGAGTCCCGGTTCCTCCCCCTGGGTGTGTGTAAGAGCGGCGCGCAGCGAGCCGGGCGTGTGCGGGAGGCCGAGGGGCAGCCGTGCCCGACTCGCTCTCGCCGCCGCCGCTCCCCGATGCCGCCGCGGGGCCGCTGAGTCGGCGCCTGGATGCTCATCACGTCCCCTTCTCCTCTCTTCCCTCCCGCAGGCGGCGGCAGCGGCTCCGGCTCCCTCTCAGCTCCCGGCCGCCTCCGAAGGGATGCTGGAGAAACTCGAGCTCGAAGATGAAGGTAAAAAAAAAAAAAAAACACAAACGCGAGCGTTGGACGGCCGGGGTGGGGGAGGAGGGAAGGGGCGAACGCCGCCGAGCGGTCCGCGGGGCCGCAGCCTTTTGTCCCCGGGGCGCCACGCGTGCGGCCGGGCCGGGGGCGGTGGGGCTGTTCCGGCACGGAGCGCTCCGTAGCGACGGGCCGCCCGCCTTTACCTGCGGCCCCGGCGCCGCTTTAGGGGGTGCAGCCTCCCCGCCGTGCCCCATCCCCGCGAAACGCTCCGCGATACCAAATATAGGCGCTGCCAGCCGTGGCCCGACTCCGTGAGGCTGCGCGCCGGCTCTTCCTGCCGCTGCTGGCTGCGGAACTCGGCCGGAGCGCTGCCCGCCTTCCCCTCCTCATTGCGTCCAGCAAAGTATCCCCAGCTTTCGTCTTTCGGCGAGCTCGGAGCCCATCTGTACGCTCAGAGCTGCGAGGCGGCCCGAACTTCATAGGAATGCGTTGTCTTCTAGCTGCTGACTGCCGTTGCGGAATGTAGGACGAATATTTAAGGAAAACTTTGAAAATAGTAGGCTGAGTCACGCTGTGGAGGTAAATAGCCGGGCTGCTATGCTAATAAGCCGCCTTGGTGGTTAGCAGCGTTGTGGAGAGGTAACACCTCGATCCTGGGCTTCTTGTGCATGGAGGAAGGAAACTCCTGGCAATTGAATTCTATGAGGGTTCAGGTTTTGTTTTTGGTTTTTTTTTCCTCTTTTTCTTTTCTTTAGGAGTCGTTGCAAAGTTGGATCCGTAACGCAGTACTGAGTCCTGAGCGTGATTCAGTGTGAGCATTTGTTGCTAACCTGTAGCTCCCTTGTGGCGCTGCTCGCATACTTGCAGCTGGACCTTCCTGTTGTGCTTAGGAAGAACTCAAGTTACTGATTTTATTTTTCAATGTGTATTTTTTAACCTGGCTACCGAGTAGTGGCTCTTAAAAGCTGCTGACTCACTAACAGTTAAACCTTCGTAAGCTCTTCAGATGCCGGTGTGTCTGCAAAGCGTGGCAGGCAGGAAGAAATAACAGAAAAAAACTCAGTTTTGAAACACCTTTACCTCTTCAACATTAGCATGCATTACTGTGAGGGGTCAGGGTGGGCGTCTGTACGTCTCTGAGAACACTGCAGTGGGGTAACGTGAGGGAGTTTGGTGGCTGCTGCTGATTTGCTTTGGAAATTCAGTTGGCTTCCAAAGGAAGGCTTTGTCTGGGGGCACTTGAGGTGGAGGAGTGAGAGGTGTTGGGGATCTGTCAAAAGGCAGTGCCTGGTGGCACCCTGTGCCCGCTTCACATCGCGTGGGAACTTGGAAAGGTAGCTGTCAGCTGGCATCAGTGCAAACCTCATTCTGTGCCCGGAGAGGGAATGGAAGGCAAGATGTACATGGAACTGAGCGTGGAACTGGGGATGGCTCTATGTGAGGAGGCCTGGAGAAGGAGAGTCACAGCGCGTTGAGATGCAGGCGGAAATGCAGCGGCTTACTTGCAGTGCGTGTTTTATGACCTAAATTTTTGCACCAGTTGCTGTAGCTTGTGCTAATATTGGGGGTGGGGGAGTACAGTGGCATCTGATAGTGATAATTTCTTCTTGCTGGATGACAAGTAGTGCTCAGAAGTTGAGAAACAGCTTTGAAATCTTGATAAGATTTAATTAAGTGTATGCAACCACAGTCTGATCTTTTGTCCAACTCCAAGTGAACTTTCTCCAGCAATACCTACATTGAAAGGTGAACTAGAAACATGAAACTTGTTTTGCCTTTGCTTTTGAGTATTTCCTCTTTCCAGTTTCTATGTCAGTTGATTGTTATCTCGTGTATCAAATTATGCTCCAGCTCTCTTGAAACATAGAGGTTAATTAAAAAAAAAAAAAAAAGAAAAGCTGCAAAGTGAGGCTCAATCTGTTCACTGAATGCCATCCAGTATGCTGGGAATGGATTTCTGCTTGTCATTCTCCTCGGAGGTTACACAAATGAGGATGTGAAAGCACAGAAGGCATTCATTTAATTTAGATTCTAATTAAGAGAGTTACATTGGAAAAAGCGATACAGGGAAGATTTATAGCATAAGTGGCAATGTAAGGAAATATGTCGAGTCCAGCATGATGAGATGGCTTCTAAATAAAAGGGGATTTTTTTCTTTCCTCCACGTTTCATACCTAATTAATGTGGGCAGTGCTACACATGATGCTTTTGTCCCTGAAATCGGTGCTGACCGTTGTCTTTTTCTTTGTGTGTAAAGCACGTTTGGTTATGTATGTGACAGGACTCCATGGGATCGCTGTGACTTACTGGCTGATCACTACCTTGCTTATTATTATTATTGGCTAAATAATAATACTGCTCTTATGGAATGTAGAAGAGCAAATTCTCATCTCTGAGATGGTGGTTAACAGAGCAGCTGCACTACAGCTGAGATGGGACAGGTGCTGAGGAGAAGGACTAGATAGGCTTGTGGATATTTGACTTATTTGGAACTCCATAAAGAGCTTTTTCCCCAAAATAACCAGAGTAGAAAAACTTAAAAACTTGTGTAAGAAGCCCAGAGTACCTTTGAACTGGAAGATTTTTCTGTTCAAACAGAAAACTTTATTAATACATGAGATGCTCTGAACTCATTCTGCTCAGTGTTCCTTGGATGGGGGTGACCTACCTACATCTTCTCAAGAGGTACTGAAGTTATCTGTGGGAGGCAGTGGAGTTTCTTGTATTGTGGAATAGGTTAGTGCTGTGAGACCTTTCGTGAGTCTGTTATCCATGCTGTGGGTTTGCTTGTTCTGGGCCAGTGCTTAGTTGCTAAAATAAGCAACTCTTGGTGTTCAAAGGGAACCTCCTGTTTTGCAGTTCACATTCATTGCCTCCTGTCCTGGCACCAAGCTTAGCTCCATCTTCTTCAGATCTCTTTCAGGTTCTGCTGAGCCTCTTTGTCTCTGGGCTGAGCAGTCCTTGCTCTCTTTGGCTCTCCAGTCCCTTCATCACCTCCGTGGCCCTTCTTCTGACTCTCCAGTATGTCCGCATATCTTGTATTTGAGGGACCCAGAACTGGATGCCTCACTCCATGTGTGTCCTTACCAGCCCTGAGTAGAGAGAAGGATACAACTCCTTGTGCTGCTGCTGTTACTTTGCCTAATGCAGCCCAGGATGATGTTGGCTTTCCTGGTGGCAAGGGCACATGGCTGGCTTGTGTTCAGCTGATTTCTGCCAGAACCTCAGGCCCTTTGCTGTCCAGCAGCTTTCCAGCTGGGTATCTCCCAGCTTGTCCTTATACCTGGGGTTGTTTCTCCCTAGGTTCAACACTTTGCACATCTCCACGTTCTCGTTTTTCTTCTCTAGCAGCTACTGATAAAGCAGCACTTAGCAGATGCCAGAAAAAAATGCATGCAGTTAACTCAGGGAGTCTTTGCAAAGGCAGAAGTTAATTGCATGGTTCTCTTGTACGTGTGCTCAATTCCTAGTCTGGAAAAAAGAACTCTGCAAACTGCAGGCAGCAGTCATAGCTTCAGCATCATGGAACTGTGTGCTCATTCTTGAATGCTGTGCTTCCTTACACGAAGTAGCACTTAGTTATTTGATGAACAGTTTGTGTTAGAGTGGAATTGCTCGTGGTGATGCCCTGGTCTTCCTCTCACTGTCTTCATCTCTCCTGTCATATGCTTGTTAATTGGCTATCTCTTGAAATAAACTTTCACCAGTAATTGCATCCCCTCTCAACTAATTGTTGTGTCTGAAGTCATTCCTTCTCCACCCTGCAGATTTTCTGGGAAGTGGCTTCTTGCTGAGCATTTCCTATCTGCCAGCCTCCCACTGGCAAATGAGTATCTGAACCAAGGTATGACAGTATGTCACTGTGTGCCAAAAATAGTTGCAAGAAGTTGGTAAGAAAATGCACGTTAATGTGCATGCTAGATTTTAAGAATCAGAATCTGGTTAGCAAATCAGTTTAGGAAATGCTAAGGATAACTAAACTACAGCTTTATGGTATTTAGTATTACTATTTAGTATTACTAACAAAGTACCAGAGATGCAGTGTTCTTTTGCAGCTGTGATTTGCTTTTAATAAATGCAAATCATGTGGTTGTTAGAACAGTGGGTGGGCATAACAAGAAATTATTATGTGGAGAGGATAATTGGGATTAATGGACTCTATATGGTCCTAAATGAGAATCATTTTCTATTTCTTCTTTAGAGTCCATTTGTGTTATAATATTTAAGGCATAACAGCAAGTGAGAAGGGAGAAAAAATGTGTTATTTGGTGCCTTTTTTCCTCTGGATACCTGATTTGATGTAATACTGAATACTTGCATCTGTTCCTACCAAATTTACTCAGCTTTTATTTTTTGTCACTTTGCAGCAAAGAATATCGAGAGGATTTTGAGCTTTCCTGTGACAAAACTGTCAAGAGGGGTTAAAGAATGAACTTTTGAATATTCCAGATAAGTTAGCTTCAGTAGTTCATGCAGGAAGTTATGATCGAGTGCTATGCTGTCCTGGGCAACCTCGTGTCCTTTGTCTGCCACTTTGCTATGTAGTCACATTGTGGAAGTATTCCCAAAGAAATATTCATCTTCAGAGTTCAAGGATGGAAATTCTACTTTTTATTTTTACCTATAATTTTATGCATGAAGCCTCACTTGGAGAAGCATAAAGTGAACTTTCGGAAGTTTTGTCATCTTAGACGAGGATCTTTCACCTTTGCAAGTACTGTATATGGCTCTATCAGCCCAGTGCTTGCCAGCTCCATCTAGACCGAATTCTTTCTGTTCCTACAAAAGAGGCAGCTCTGATCGTACTGCTTAGTTTCACAATGAGAAAACCTCACTTGGAGTTGAGTAGGAAATAACCAACTCATAGCAGCATGTGAAGTCCTAACCAGTCTTTGTCAGGAAACAAACATGTCAAGTGTTATTACCTTTGCAAAAGATGTTTGAGTACAGCAGAAGATGCAGCCTTGTTATACAGGAGATGCTTTAAAAACCTCTGCTTTTGGCTTTGA